AAATATCTTTCAGGATATTCGATTGCAAGCAAAATTCCTCTAACTCTGACAACAAACCCTCTGTTCTCGGTGACAATGCGAGAATCGAAGCGCATGCTGCTCCGCTCCCTGACCCCATCAGCAGAATGTTTCCGGGATCGCCTCCGAAAACTTCAGCGTTGGCCTATAGTGGAAAAAATACGACATCAGCTAAAGTAAACAAGAACAGAGGACTTACTTTGACCCATTTTAATGCCCATATCTGATCCCATAATCCTATATTTCCAGGGAGAATTTTATCACCAGTAGAGAGAAAACCTCAAACAAAAGGGTTGGTCATATAAAGATCGAGCAATTGGTAACCGACACTCGTCCTATTGGTTAGATTCTATGGAAATATTTGAAATCAAAGTTTATGCTGAAATGTCGATGTCGCACTTTCCAATATATCGAAAAATTCTTGTATGTCTCTTGAGAGGTAGAAGATTAGAATTTTATGGAATTGAAATCTCAGAGTATTAAACATAACTGAGAAGTTATATGGTAGCATCAAAATTAACTTCAGGATATAAGCTTCCAAAACTTCGGACTGATCCCATTGCAAGATCGTAGGAATTCAATTAACGTGATCCAAACGGGTAGCAGAGATATTTTACCAAACTAGCGCTACTCGCTCAAATTATCTGACAAACTTACCTAGTGGACCAAGTCGATAGTTAAATGTAACGAAGATAATCTTGCGGGACACAAAGTTATCAAGAATCGCTTGCTGAGGATAATCACTTCCTCCACCAGATTGAAAATCTCCTCCATGGATGAACACAATGACTGGATAGGTGTCATTTGTGTATTGGTACTGAAACTTAGTTATTGAATGAAAGGAAGAAAAGACGAAAAAAAACTCCTGCCCTTTTTATGAGGTTGTGTAAATTCAATATTGGAGCAAGGCAAAGCAAATGTAAAAATACTCTAATTTATAATCGGAAGTTTCGATATCGTAGTAAGATAACTCTTAATCAGAAATTGTGACTTTGAGCAAGATCAGTCAAAGGACTGGAAGATTTCAAATGTATAATTGTCTAAAATTGCATGAAACATCTTCTATGAAAGTTTCTCGGTGTCCCCATTCTGAAGCTGTCACTCGATCCTCTACTTTTTTTTAGCATTCGTGGCGCTTGGTTTTCTTAACATAGCAAAGTCATTCTAGCAGGTCTTTGAAACTAACAAATATATGTTGTACA